TAACCCGCTGCGCCACCAGGGAGGGCCAGGAGCGGAATTCTTAAGGGAAGTACTAGGTCTCTTGCCGTGACTTGCTGGCTCTGGAACATGGCGGCCATGTCCCCCCCAGCTGGGGACATCTGCGGCGGCAAGCATGGCTCCCGATGACCGCTTACAGTCGGTAGCCTGCGCGCTGGGCACAAAGCATGTTACACGGGGCAGGTAAAGCGCAGCTTCACCTTCCGATGTCCCGTGGACGGATGGGCTCTCTGTCCTGTGTGTGTCCCCTGCAGCTGGGCGCAAGGTTCTCACTCTGACGTTCTTCGTGGACTCACTGCGCCCGACTCGCCCTGTGCTGGTTCTGGAAGGAGGCAGAGGCGGGCGAGGGCGTGCTGGCAGCCAGGCCCAGGCTTCCTCGGGCCCCACAGCCTGCCCTTCCTTCCCTCAGGTCTGCGGTCACACAGGTGCGGCTGGAATTCGGGAGGCTTCACGCCTTTGAGCGAGCAGTGGCCCTCGCATAGGCTGGTGAAGTGGGAGCACTACAGGTGAAAATGCCCGGAAAAGCTAGAAATCCAGGGGAGGGAGAGACAGTCCGGGCACTTGGTTTTGTCTATGCGCTGCGCTGTTTTTTACTGATAACGATAGGAGAGGCGTTATGCTAAGAGATAAAATGTTTGGCTTCTAATTCCCCTTCTGGTCATTTCACTCTCTCTTACACAAATTATTTAACCTTCTTGAGCCTTAATTCTTCATCAGCAAACTGCTCCACTCAACAAATGATCAGAGTCGACCAGATGCTGGTAACCTCTTTTCCAACTTGAAAAATTCTGCAATGAATTGAGTGTTTTCTGAAACATACTTAGCAGTTCCACTCTCATCCTAGAGATGTTTTTCCTAATATGAAATTGGGCTTTGATCAAGAAACCTTGATAGTGAAAAGAAAATCACAGCTTAAACAAAGCAACATTTTAATGAGAAAAAATGAACTAAATGTAAGTGGCTACGAGTGTTTTGATTTCTAAGCTCCAAGTTTTTAAAAATGAGATGTTTTTTCTGAAATGTAGACTATCTCCATTTAATGTGGATAAGCTAAAACGCACAGAAATTTCCACCATGTTATTTTCTCTCAGCTCTGAGTGCATTAGCCATCTGCTAATTCACAGAAGCTGTCGCCCCTTGCTGCTGTCCTTAGATCCCTTAATGTCCGGTGGCCGTCAGACCCCAGGGCTGAGCCGGTGGCGT